CCTGGATGCGGGGGGGAAGGGCCGAGCGGGGGCCCCTGCTGGGTGTCACAGCTAGTGGCATCCTGAGGCCGGAGGCCCAGCCTGTGGGCGCCGCGCTGCGCCAGCCCTGGGCTTCTCCAGCTCAAGCGGCAACATGAGCAGAGCTGCAGGTGGTCTGGGGCCAGGGAGGGCACGTGCAGCCAGGAAGGCCGGGTGGCCTCTGCCTCTCCACAGAGAAGCCCAAGGGACAAGGAGGTGCCTGCAGCTCTGCGAGCAGGACTCGTTCCCAGAGGTGTTTGGGGTCCTGCCATCCCTGTCACCTGGGCCAGGGGCCCCCTAACAGGGCCACATGCCCAGGGACACAGGTGGAGGCTGGGCCACTTGTCACCCAACAAGGACAGGGTGGGCAGTGCAGGGCCCCACGTAGCCTCCCTTGGGGACAGGGGGAAGAGGCCTGGGCCGCGGCTGCCATGCCCTCCCTGCTGCTGCTGGCAGTGCTTCCTTCCCGTCTGCCCCCTGTCCCCTCCTCCAGGTTGCTGCTGGCAGCTGTTTACCCGGGCACAGCCAGGGAAGCAAACCTTGTGTCGGGAACCGGTTTGGGAACACCCAGAGCCACCGTGGCTCGCTCTGCGCCCTTGACGCGAGGCCAGGTGACGTGTCCGAGGCTGAGCGGTGCTGGGGCCCTGCAGGAAGCAGCCACTGGCCCCGTGCGGGAGCCACGGGAGCCGCCACAGGGAAAGCCTCCCCTCGCCCCTCAGGATGCTTTTCCCACCTTTTCTCCCTCTTTCCGCTCACATCCCAGCCCTGGCTGGCGCTTCCAGACGTTTTGCTGGGGCGGAGAAGAGAGGTTTTCATGCTACCACATGCGGGGCTGCGGGCAGATGCCTGCACCGCTGCTGAACTTCTCCACCCCGCGCCTGCTCCGAGCGGGCCGAACAGCTGCTGCAAAAGGAGAGGAGCCCCGAGACCGACTCGTTAAAAAACAGGCTTTTATTTTTCGTGTGCTGCTTACGGTCACGGCACGGAGACAGGACTCGGCTCTTGCCAAAGGTATTATGAAACAAATCAAGTCCCAGACTCGGGCTTTGCTCTTCCCCACCCCCAAGAGAGTCAACATTGTACAAAACTCTTATTTACAGGGAAAACAGTCAAAAACGGTGAGTCTGAAAATCCCTCCCAATTCAAAAGGAAACATCCAAGGCGAGTGTGACAGCCGCACGCAGCACCCACAGCCGGGCTTCCCCTTCGCTGCTACTGACTGTGCCCAGCAACCCTGAGTCAGCCTGTGCCGTTTCCTTCACCAAAAAACGGTGGGAAGCTGCAAAATCCATTTGAACACACAGAGGTTCAGCTGAATCTGCCCTACCTGCCCCTCAGGAGGCCATGGGAAGGGCAGCACACTGGATTCCCTCCTTTCCAAGGGGGAAGGGAGCCACAGAGTGGACATGGGGCTGGGTGCAGCGCTTCCTGTGGGACAGGCTGGCTGGCTCCAGCTCAGGGTCGGGAGCCTTCATATAAGCAGAGGGATTTGCTAGGAAACCTAATTTCTGATGCTGTGTTTACAGGAATCACGTTACTTGGGACATAAACCAAGAGGAACAAATAGATATTTAAAAAACAGGGAGA